ACAGAAAGATAAAAGTGAGAACAAATGTTATTTTTAAAAGCAATAGTGTTGCTTTCTTCACTCTTTTTTTTACATGTAACTTCTTTTCTGTGGAGAAAATGGAAGGAGTGGGAAACAGATGAAATACCGATTGAAATGGATATTTCACCATAAGCAAATAGAAGCTTTCTCTCCTTTGCAGATTAAGAAGTAATAATTAAAGTTGAAGTAATATTTTTAAAATACCTGAAATGAATGTTGGTCAAGTCATTTTTATTTTCCATGTAGTTAAAGATAAAGCCTGCCATCCTAAAACATAAAGTATTTCCCAAGAGTCTCTCATGGAGTCCATGTCTGTCTGCTCATGCAGGTACAGGTCTCTCTGGTGACCCTGGCTATTGCCATATCACTGCTGCAGGAGGAGCTCCTCTGGCAGTGCCAGCTTGAGCATGTTAGACATGAAGATGCTTCCCTGCCTAAAAAGTGGGTGAAGGCAGGAGGAGTTGTCTTCATGAACCACATGTCCAGGTGTTGGCAGGGTAGGGCTCATGGCCAGCAGCTGCAGGGTGACACGTCTGACATGCTGACTGTCCCTCTGGACCTGTGCTGCTGCTGCATGCTCAGCTGAGTTGCCCTAAAGGAACAATGCACTGAGGAGATTCTGAGAGGTAAAGGCTGGACCACATGGGGATGATAGAGCTTCTGATTGCAGAAAATGGGGGGTGAGGTGGAGTGGGGATATGGAGAATGGTGGTCGCATTAGGAAGACATCAGGTAAGGTACACAACACTATAGGCATTATCTGCGATAGTATTGGTTGCATATTCCTGACTTCATCATGCATCAGCAGTAGCCCAGAATGGTGGTGGCCTCCATCCATGGAGATACTGAAACCTCACCGAACACAGCTCTCATAAACCTATCATCTGACTGAGCAGGAGAATTAGACAAAATTACTTTCAGAGGCCCCTTCCAACCAGCCATTCTGTGAAACTGTCATCCCAGGCCTAGGCTGGAAATTCTCCATCTCTAGAAGTTAGTCCTTCCTTAAGAAATCCTACAGATGTGAAGAACGCCCTTCATGACATACTGTGCAATCCTCAGACTGGCATTTCTCTCAATGAAGACACTTCAGTTTCTGTAAAGATCTTAAATTCAAAAAATCACAGCATATCCTGAATTGGAAGGGATCCATGAGGATCACTGAAGCCCACATCCTGGCCCTTCACAGGTCACCCCAGGAACACACCATGTGCCTGAGTGCATTGTCCGAACACTTCTTGAACTCTGTCAGGCTGGTGCTGTGACCATTTCCCTGGGGAGCCTGTTCCAGTACCCAGCCACCCTCTGGGTGAAGAAACTTTTTTGAATACCCAGCCTAAACCTTCCCTAACACAACTTCATGCAATTCCCTTGGGTCTTGTCACTGGTCACCACAGAGATCAGTGTCTGTCCCCCATCATGAGGAAGCTGTAACTGCACTGAGATCTCCCCAGTCTTCTCCAGGCTGAACAGACCAAGTGACTTCAGCTGCTCCCTATAAGCAGCTCCCCTCAAGGATCTTCATCATCCTCATGGCCCTCCTTTGGATGCTCTCCAATAGTTTTGTATCTCACTTTTACTGTGGCACCCAGAACCGCCCCCAGCACTTGAGGTGAGGCCGCCCCAGGGCAGGGCAGAGCAGGACAATCCCCTCCCTTGTCCATCTGGCCATGCTGTGCCTGATGCCCCCAGGACACGGCTGGCCCTCCTGGCTGCCTGACTCAAATGCAACCCCAGGTCCACCTCCACGGTGCTGCTCACCAACCTCTTGTTCCCCACTCAGTATGTCAAGTGATCTGAAGCAATCCATATGGATACGTATTTCTTTTATGGTAAGGATGACACTTGACCTGAGACAAAGGGCCAGTCTAAAGGTTTGTACATCACTGAAACATCATCTAAAATTTGAAATTTGGACCTGAATGAAACTTGAATATTAGTGGGTAACAAATGGCACATACTACCAAGAAGCATGTTTTAAACTTCAAGCACTTTATTTAAACTGTGTCTTTTAAAAATACAGCATTGAAAAAATACAGCTTTGCAAATACTATTTGACCACATTCAGATGTGGGACTCCAATTTGGTATTGAACATAATAAAACAACAAAATCAAACCAAGAAGATCAAAAGCCAGACAGGTGCAGATCTCAATCACTGTCTCTTTGAAACAGTAAGATATATCCCACAGTCCATGAATGGTGCAGTTTCTTCTACTGAAGGGGCATATCTATGTAATTTAGCTGCAGATAGGCAGGTGGTATCACTCTCAAACAGTGATTAGTGTCACAGGACACTAAGTCAGCTTTGTGCAGCATATCTCCACATTTCACTCAGCAGTGGACCTGATGCTCCATGTTGCAGAATATAAATTAGTTTCCAGATGATGACGAACTAATCTACCTGATTGAGATACTGACAGGGCAAGACACAGTGTGGAAAAGTGGCTATGGAGCTGGGACCCTGCAGCTTCCTCAGAGATATGTTCCAGAGCATAAAGCACCTTTCTTGTCTAGCTTCCATCTCTGATGAGGCAGCATAAGCTTATGAATAGACAAAGCCAGAGGTCGGCATCCTTTGAAGAGTTTACCACAAGACCATTTTTTTCCAAAGACAATCTTTTGTCCTTAGGGCTTTAATGGGTGATGCATCACCCATCACAAGACAGTTTGACTGTAACAGTTCATCTTTTATCATACCACTTTCTAACTGCATGTTATTTTACACTGCAATGTGAAATAGAGGACTACCTGAGCAGCCTATTTCATATGTAACTGTATCACCTACCTGCATGTAAGCATTTTATTCTCTGGTAAAATGCATTCTTTTTGGCTCTTGCTTTTCAAACTCACTGGCATCTTTCCAGCTATGGATGTTTCCACTTTTACTTAAAATAAGAAAGTGCTTAAAAGTGTATACAGTGTCTTTTGAGTACTGGTGTGCATTTCTCTATCACATTTAACCTGCTGTACTTGTGAGGCAAGTAACTATTTTACCTTTATGTCCAGGAACCAGCATCTGTCTGTTCTGCAACCAGTTGACAAGACCCCTTGGCGAGCTCCATCCATGCTTGAGAGACTAGCTATTCTTGCTGGTGATTGACATAAAGGCATGCCCAAAACTACAGACTGCAGTGACAGAAGCCTGAAGCTGGCATTCTCCAGTGGGTACCACATGGCAAGTCTTGAAGGTAACTATAATTATAATAAATTATTAGGAAGGGGTTCATATAGGAAAAGGCTATAGGGGATAGATATTATTTCTAAGTAGGCATCTACACCATCCTATGACAGGAAACAGCAAAGTCACAGTGGGGCCCAGATTAGCAGGGGTATTCCACGAGGAACACACTGCACCTTTGAATACCTTGCAAACCTTAAAAGTGCTGCTAGTTCTTCTGCACCTACACTATTGCATTTGTTCTATCAGCAGTGTCAGCTTCAGTGAAGAATGAGCACTGCTGCTCTTTACCACTGTGTCATCTCAGCCGCCTGACATGGCTGTGAAAATGCTTGTCTGCACTCCACAACCTTTAGAATAACGGCAGCTCAGGAAAAGTCTACTTTGGATGCAACATCCAAACACACCACACTGTGTAAGCCAAGACTCTGAGTGCTGTATTTATGCAGAGGAAGTGTTCATATCAAAACCATTAGGTGCTATAGACACTATGGACCAGCACTTATAATGATCCTGTTCTAACCTTTGTGGGTTGAAACTGTAGCCTCTAAGCTAGTAAGACAGAAAAAACTTAGTAGTGACAACCTGAAATGCATGTGAATTAGTCCACTGTGCCCTGGAACAAAATACAGAGAAGATGAGGCTGATATACTCGTTCATCCAGGCAAGCACTGTGCTCCTAAGCAGTAGGCAGAGAATCTGCACATCCAGCACTGTAAGAAGCTGCAGACAGAGGAGGTGTCTTCTCAGTCAGGGACAAGAGGTTATCTTAAAAAAAAAGCTATAAAAGTTTATATCCTTTCCTATGTCACAGTGAAATTTATCCCACATCACTTGAGCCATATAAACAAGAGGCTTAAGTGTAAACGAGTGGCTTGGCTATGTCAGTAAAGTGAGAGGAACATCCCAGACAGATTTGACTTCTCCATCATTAGGAGCAAGTAACATACTTTTCAGAGGTTGCTATCACTGAGTATTGGGATGTAGATACTAATATCTATGAGAAGAGAAATTAAGCCTTTGGTTCTGTCATTGTATAAGTTTTCTGCTATCATTGCCCCATGGAGATGCTTGAGCCTGGTCAACATTACTTATTAAAGCTCTTGAATTTCTGCAGTTTTGAATAAGCTAAGACTACGGGCTTCAGCATGTTGTCCAAAACTAGTGTTTTTCTGGTGTCATATATCCGTGGGCATTGAATATGTGCAGAAGAACTATGTGTGAAGTATCTTATCAAATTAACTGCTTTTAAATTTAAAAAGTTAGCAAGAATATTTAGATTGCTGGGTGAGGGTGTGTTTCAGTATGACTCAAATTTTGCGGCAGTAGTACAGCAAGACGTAGGAGAGGACAACTGGCTTTGGGCAGTGGCACTGCTTTTTCATCCGGTTCTGGACCGCTGCAGGAGGCGCGATGCTGGCTTTGCCACATGAGCCCCGCAGGTCTGCCAGGCCATCACCTGCGGCTCCTCATCGCCCTGTTTTAAGGGACGGGCCTCGGGGTGACGGCCCGAACGGGCACGGGGAGCAAGGGACAAGAGGGGAGTGGGCTCGGGGGTCGCACGGCCGGGCCGGGAGCCAGGCGCGGGGCGCAGTCCTTGGCGTCCCCTCGGGGCGTTGTTCGCCCCCCGCGTCCTTCCTGCTTCCGGGGGCCGCCGCGGGGAGGATTTGCCGCAGATGACATCAGCCGTGGATGCTGGAAAGGCGGCGGCGGCGCGGAGGATGCGCCGGCTCCCCCCCTTCCTCCTCCTCCTCCTCACCAGGTCCCTGCCCTGCACCGTCTCCGTATAAAAGCGCCGCCGCCTCCCCACCCGCCCTCACTCCCTCCTTGCCGCCCGCGGAGCCGCCGCCGAGCTCAGCGCCCCGGAGCCGCGGGGCGGAGGCGATGGCCACCGTAGTGGTGGAAGTGGACTCGGAGCCCTCCTGCAGCATCCCCAACCCGACCTCCACCTCGCCCAGTCTCTCCCACCGCTTCCTAGACAGCAAGTTCTACCTGCTGGTGGTCATCGGCGAGCTGGTGACCGAGGAGCACCTGCGGCGGGCCATCACCAATATCGAGCGAGGTGAGGCGGCGGGAGCCGGGGTGCCGCAAGCAGCGCCGCGACACCCCCGCCGGCGCCCTGCCCCTCCCTGGGCGCGGCCGGGAGCCGGGATAGCCCCCGACATCATCCCGCCTAGCCGCCGTCTTCGGCTCTTTATTCCCCGGGGGTCCCGCCGCAATGCCCACCCACCCATGCTCCGCCGCGGGGTGCGGGCGCTGCGGAAAGCCGCAGCGAGCCCCCTCCCCGCCATCGCTGGGCGGAGGGGCCGGCGGCAGCGCAGCGCCCGCCGCCGAGCCCGTCTGCCCGGAGACACCGGGGTGGGCGTGGCACGGTCCGCACTGCGGTCCCGGTGGCTGCTCGGGGCGGACAAAGGGCGGCTGGGGATGGGGTGGATGGGCTGGGCTGGGGCTGCGAGGCGGCTGCCGCCCGCAGTTCCCCGTCCCCCACCGCCGCGCTAAGCCCGCGGGTTCGGGGCGTTTTCCCTCTCGGCAGCAGAGGCTGCGCGGGCGGGAGCGCAGCCGCGCCTTTGTGTCTAACTTTGGGTGCTGGGACTTTTCTGTCGTCTGGACAATTTTTCAGGACCTAAGTTCTATATACGCGTATATATTCCAATAAAGAAAACCTTTATGAGTAACAAGGCTGTTACCCGAGGGCTCAGCCTCGTTATTGTCCGACTGCGGGCTCCTCTGACTCGGCGTTTATTTGTCCTTTTCTTAAGACGGCGATGCAGCGTGGTATTGCAAATGAAATGACAGTTTTATAAGTTTTCGTTGTGGTTTTTGATACAATAGATTTCAGTGTATATGCAGAGAGGAGAAAAAAAAAACAAAAACAAAAACAAAAAAAAAAATAAACGGTATCAGTGGAATAAAGCATGAAGAAAATTATTGCCGGACCTTACAGTTACTTAAACTCAGTTGATAGCTGATTTTATAATATGTATTTTTTGTTCTGGGCTGGTGAAAACAAAGATTTATGGAACTGCCATTGTTAAGAGTGAAGAAGAGATCCCGGAACGAGGAATTGGTAGCAGCCTTGTCATGTAGGTGTGGTTCAGCAGTCCAGCTAGGACTTCATCTGTGTCTCTCTATTGTTGCTTTCTCAACCATTGTTGCTTTAGTTGCTTATTTCTCTGGATTCCTTTTCATTACAGTTTGAGGTAAAAGGCATCCTCATCTCAGCTAACTATTTCCATCATAAACTGTTCTATCTTTATTGCTACCATTGTCTCTTGGGGAGAGCTACTGAGGCAGGTGCTTTGTCATTCAGAGCTTCTTCAGCATCGCACTTCCTTAACTCTATCTAATTTTCAGTTGTGTCAGAAAAGAACAGGCTGCATTTTAATTAAATTGTCAAAGATTATAAAGCAAATTGGTAAAATTTACTCCCTCAAGACAACTAATATCCTCCCTCTGAAGAAATGCTCTCCAGTCCCTTCTTGAATCTCCTATTGTACAGTCACTGCTGCATAGCTCAATTACTGCTATCTCCTGCCACTAAGCATAACACCCACTTACAGGTTTAGGTGTTCAGAGGGAGTGTTTGACCTTTTAATTAATCATTTTGGATTAGAAGTGACCTTGATGCTTCTAGTATTAGACCATTTGATTGAGATTTTTGCCTCCTAAGAAAACTCCTTGGTGAAATTTTTAGGTACATTTTTCTGGATAAATAAAAGTGGGAGTCTGACGCTTTGTCTATGTGAGGCAATTGCAGGCTCAGCTAATAATTTTCTCTTTGGAAAGTCTGCTGTAGTCTGGGGAAAAAAATACTTCTTGCTGCCTTTATTCTCAATAGAGCTTTAAATGCATTTTGGTTCTCCATAACTCTGCCTTACTGTCTTCTCTGGTACATCTCCTGAGTACCATCACTGAAAACTGTGGATTCATGCGCCAAACTGCAGAGCAACGTGTCAAAGAAAACATCTGCTGATAACACATCAGTGGTGTGATGCTACGCAACCTGGTGGAATGCAGAGTCATTTCTTAATATATCATGGGGAGGGAATGGTGTGGCAAGACGCATTTTCAGTAATTACATTTTGGATGTGACTTTGCTAAGGGGGCAATTCTCCAACAACCCACAGTCCACCAAAAGAGAAGAGGGGAGTGAAGAAGAAGCTTCAAGATTTTTCCACTGATTTAGCAGATGCTACTGGGTGTGCCCTCCCTGCTGTCTTATTAGTCCTGTGTCTAGTGGCATTGCATTTCTAAGACTGCAGAAAGAAGGAAATAGCTCCAGTTCAGCCATGTTTATAGCAGATATGTCCACATTTCTAAGCCATCATTGGATTGACCTTGGATTTTAGTTCCATGTTTATCTTTGTTCCACCGAAAACCTGATTTAGTGGTATCATTCATTTAATACATTTTACTCCGCTATAATACGCATGCATAATTTTTGCATCCAGATTGCTGAATCATGCAGTTGCATATTTTAGATAGTCTACCCAAATTCCAGCTTCAGCTTCTAGGACTACTGCGTGCATAGGGCATAAAGGCTTTTATCCCCTATTTTTTTTCCCCCTATTTATTTTGTGTTGAGTCCTGTATTTTGGACATTGCCTGGCTCAATCAGGCAATGATTGAGCAATCTTGACTACATCTAATCAGCACCTTATCCCTACAGCAAATTAGGATCGCATCTAAAGCAGCTAGGGATGGTGGATGAGTCCTTTCATTAGCAGTGTTGATAAATCATAGTTCATGTCAACTGACCTCTAGAAAGGATTGTAGTTTCTCTGCCCAAGCTTGGTGTCATAGGCCAGGGAATTGTTTTTCTTCAAGCTTCTTGAAGTTCAGCACTCATTCATTCAGTGTAGTTCAGCTTTGTGATCAATGTCAGTTTAATAGTTATTGTTTTCATATGTGCTCTACTTGTATGGTATTATATCATCTTGGTGTTCTTGCTCTCAAATATTCCAACACCTGGAAGATATTAAAGCTGTTTAGATGTATTTGCCTGCCAAAACTTGTCCAAAAAATGTACCATATGGTCAAGTGCTTTCTGAGAAAACAAAGTAAGGAGACGTGAAGAAGAGTCTTGCTGCTTTATGCCTCTGAACAATGATGCGTCAGTCAGGAAGTGGAGGTGGCTGGTTATAGCTCAGTTATTTTTCTCAAGTGGTTATGGAACACACAGGCACACACTGTATTTTTAATTTTTTCTTGAGATTCAAATGGCAGCTACTTAATTGCTGGTAGCATGTTACAGTAAGCTTGCTACTACCTTTACCTGGATGCATTCTTCTTGCAGAGGCTTCAGGCTCTTGAAATGCAGATGTTCATATTTGCATGGAGAACCTACTAAGAGCTGCAATGGGAGACTAGCACTGCAGATCTAGTTTCTCTGCTATTCCTTCTTTTCTCCTCATGCTTCATCCCTGCAACATGGTTTCTACCAGTCTTAATTCTGACATTTCTGCTGCATTGAAACAGAAAATACGTATAGCATGGGAAGTGGTATTGACATCCACAGCCTGAAACCCTGAGAAAAGTGTTAATTCTAGACCCATTCTGAAGGGTTGGACATACATCTCTTCAGGCATCTTGTTGTCAAACCTCAAAGTGGTCTAATCCAATAATTTCATGCAAAAGCATGATCATGTGGGGAGGAGCCAGCAGGCAACCTTCTCACCAACAGTCTACTTTATGTTTGCCAGTTCATTTCTGTAGAGGTAATGATATTTTTTTAGGACAAAAAAAAATGAGTGCAATTTTGTCTTTCAAAATTGCAGCAGGGCCTAGACTTACTTGTAGTGTTACTGCCCGCTCATTATTTCAAAAGTAGAAGATTTCCAAAACAAAATTATATAAAAAATCTGAAGTATATTCTACCTTTTTATTTTTTTTTCCCAAATTGTTCATTGAAATCTTATGTAAGAAAATTATAACCTTGTCTTCTTGTCTTTTGGTGGCAATGACTTTTTTTCCTGGTTGAATTTCAGTCCTTAAAAATCTACTTTGAAATAATATATTTTTTTGTCATGTAAGTGTCAAGTGTCTCACTTTTTAAGTAGCTGGGGGAAAAACAGTAGGAAACAGAGATGTGCAGTTTGGTTTTTTAAAAAAAAAAAAAGATCAAGCACAGCATTTTCAAATTTCAGAACTAGAGTTCTGACACTTCATAAATAAAAGATCACTTAAATTTTAATTTAAAATATGGTATGCTTCAAAGATACTGAATGAAGAAGTCAGCAATTTAGTACTTTGTATTTAAATATTAATTAGCAACATGCTAGGTAATGCTGCCTTTTTCTTTTCAAAAGGGCAAGATGACTGAAATGTCCTCTGGGTGATTCACTCTTCTGTTTTTGTAAATCTGTACATTGGAATTTTAAAAGTCATGTCAGGGACTTTGGTAACTTACTGTGAAATGGCTACTGATGCAGTTTGAAAGCTGGGGTCTTAAAGAATGATCACGCTTTGGAAATGCAGACGGTCTTTTTCAGATTCCTGTCAGAATCCTACTGAGTGTATTTTAAAAAATAGCTTTGTGCCTTGGAAGAAGGTGAGGCTGGGCTTGGAATTTAGAAATATGCAAATAGCTTGAATGCAAATAGAAAAGTACTCAGTTAAAACTTATATTGCTCATGTGTCAAGCTACACATGTTTTCTATTTTGTATTTTAGGAATCCGATCATGGGACACAAACTTGGTCGAATGCAACTTGGATCAAGAACTGAAACTTTTTGTGTCTCGCCATTCAGCTCGATTCTCTCCCGAAGTTCGAGGTAAGTTTAAGAACAGAACTGCTAAATTACACTCTGAAATTGCCTGGCCTTTTTACAGTTAAGAGAACTTATCTTTTTATTGAACAGTTTCTTCATGTGGAGCCAATCTAGTCCAGTGACAGAAGCTTATTGTGGGTAGGTGGTGTACATACAAAACAATAACTGGAAAGGTTAGCTCTATAGTTGGACAGAGCCAGACCTGATGTCACTGTTGCATTACTGCAGCTCAAGCCCTGTGTTTCTTCCCAATGGACTTGAACTTAATTATCTTTCTTGATACGTGAAGCTGAGTTACAATGAGTCTGCCATCACTCCCAGGAACTTTCTTTGGCTTGTATGAGAAATTTAAAAATGTATATGACTAGTAAGAATCTCTTTTGCTGCCATTTTTTCAAGCCCTTTCTTCCTTAAGAGGATTCATTCAATAAATTGAAACTTTTGTTTACCAGTTTTGTGAAGTGTAAGTTTGGGTTTGTTCTGGTTTCATGAGAATCAAGAGTCTGGTAAGTTTTCTAAGGTCTCATTGCTCTTAATACCATTGCTGAATGAGTATGGATGAAATTTTGGGTGTTCAACCATCAGGTTTCTCATGTGAACATATATGATGTTTTCAAAGTAATAGAGGTTTCTGATTGGTGAAATCATTGTGACCATATGCATGTTGACTGCTGTCATACAGTACAACCTACTACTGACAAGTGTAAAAGAAACATATCTCATGTGTGGTGAAAAAGGGCTGTGAAATTTTGTATCATGCTACTAAATCAATTTCCTGAGGTCAGTTGCTATACATTTTTGACAAAGAGACCCTGATGCCTTGCTAGCATGACAGCATTGACCTGATGGTTTTAAATAATTTACAAAAATGTCTTGTGTAACTAATTTTTCCTTCTTGCATAATATGTTAAAGCAGTTTTTCTGTATCTCCCCATATCTAGAGAGAGTGAAGTATTGCCAGGTTTAAGAAAAAATTATATACTTCTATGATTTGTCCTCTGGTTTGAAAACAAACATAACTAATAAAACAGTACACAGCATGAAGATTTTTGAATAAAGACATGTAGCCCCTTATTTATCTGGATGTAAACTAGGACCTAGAATACTTGTCTTTCATTTAATTTATATGTCATGAAGCCAATTCAATTGCTCAGTGGCATTTGTTTCTTTGCTTTACAGAGAGAATTTAAGGAATGCAAAATGCAGTGTATTCTGTTTTTGGCATATCTGTGTTTTATATTAAAAACTTAAAGATCATATGTTGCTCCTGTAGCAAAAAAATTACAGCATGACTAGTATTTTTACTGCCTCTTTTAGATGATACATTCTAATACCACTGTGTGAATTAAAATAAATAAAATAAGATCATGCACCCCTTTTTCAGCAGAAAGAATGTAGAATTGTTTAGGAATTTTTCTCTGTGAATTGTAATTTTGATTGATTTTTTTCCCTTGTTTGTCTAGACTGCGCTGTTTAATCTGTCATTGTGTTGAATTCTAGCTTAATTGTATGTGACTGGAATTCATCAACATCTCTGACAAGCAGAAATGAATGTGGTTTTCACTACTGCTCAATCTTTAAACAATAAACTGCCAAAATCTGTGTTTAAAAAGCATTAAATGAGCCTCAAACTTGAATAAAGGCAATGTCAAGGGATAAAGCTGTCTGTTTTGACCAGCTTCTCCTCTAAAATTTTCTGGAGAAGTGCATTTGTACCTCCAGAATCCCACTGTACACACCAGAGAATTATTTTACTTTCTTTCTGCTGTTCTCTGATGTTGAACTCTATATGAGGCTCCTTTGTATCCCCTCTGCTGTTTGGCAGAGAGAAGACTTTTTTGTTGCCACATCCTAAAAACTTGTCAGAATGTTTACTTTGTTTCAGCACCCAAATTAAATTTGGGTGTTCAACCATTGAAACTGTGGACTTTCAAAGAGATGGTTGTAAGTATGTATTCCTTTGTGTTCCTAAACTCAGAAACGGAATAGGTGTCTAGGTGACCTTTTGTCCAAAGGAAGCGTTCACCCAAGGTGATGGGTTGCCTGTGGAATGTAATTGAAAAACTTTTTTTTTCAGCCCTTTGAGTCTGAAGTCTCTGTGCAGCTTACATATAGGAGCAGTTCACTCTTGACAAAGGCTCCTGGTTTTCTCAGGTCCAACTCCTAGCTGACTGAAGTCTGTTTGATTGCCATGTTTAATTATGGTAATTGCAGTGGTGGCTCAGTACATGCTTGTGTGCTTCTGAGAACAGCTTGAGGATATCGACAGCAGCAATGTGAAAGGTAGCAATCTTTCTGAAAAAGGAAGCTTGGAGGAAATGGGGCAAATCCTGTCCCCATGCCATACGCCTATGATGTCAAAAGAAAGATGTGGAAGAGATTGTCTGTCAAAGCATTTATGTGTTTTCTCTCAAAGAATTTAAGGTCTGGTGCCTCTCCCTGTGTAGTGAATAGCAATGTAGATACTGGTACTGCAGGGAGCATGATTAGATCCCAAGACTATTTTTGTGTTCTTTTCAAGGGGATAGGCTGTCAAGGTAGTATTTGTGCACATTTTATTCAGCTCTTGGGCAATTTATAAGTGATTTGTGATTCCTGAAAAATAAAATTCAGAATGGAAATGCCTGCAGATTTTTTTCTGCTACCTTGTAAAGCAGCTGAGTTAGTAGACTCCTTAATAACAACTGACCTTGGAGAGGTGATGTTGCCAGGTGCTGGTGAAAAATGAGTAACACAACTAATTAAATGGTTGCCACGACAACAGGCAGCATGACTTTAAAGGGGTATTCCAGTGGTGCCTCTGTTTTCTTTGTTATGCAGGCATAACTTCCATCTTACGGTAATACGAAAAGGACAAAAAAAGGCAAACTGTGTACAAGCTGGAAAAGAAACTGTGCATCTGGTAGTGAGGCAGAACAAGTGGAGAGTCTTGGAAAGAGCTAATTTGAAATTGCAGCTGTACCTACCAATCTTTGCTTAATTAACAAGAAAGTTTCAGCTGCATAAAGCAGCTTCACAAAAGACCATGTTTTTGGGTGGGGTAGGGTGAAGCTGTTGAGGGCCCTTCTGTAAGACTTGTACACTTGTATTTTATCTGTCAGTTTCCATCTGGAGACACTTAACTGTTGCATTTGTGCATATTCAAGCCTTTGTCTAGATAAAATCCATTTTATTTGAATAGCTCTTCACCCCCAACCTTCTAATAAATACTGCTTAAGATAGGCACTGTGGCTACTTTGTCTTGTGGTTATCAAGAACATTGATGCATCTCCTATCTGAATTATACCAGGAGGCCTCCTGTTTGCCTATTAGCCAGTGCAGATGCCAACTGCTGGCCTAGGACTATTTTATTGCCAGCCTGCCTGCAGCCAAAGGAGATCTTGGCAAAGTGGAAGACATGTTTTATTTCCTCTTGGCAGCTGCCTGCATCAGAAGCAGCAGTGGGCTTGCCTCCTTCAGGCTTCTTGAAAAGTCTTCGCTTTATGATACCATCATTGTTCCATACAGCCTTATCAACTTCCCTTCTGACAGTTGCCAGTTCCAAAGTTACTTTTAGGCTTGTAACCTGCGGAGAATTTTTGGACCTGGGAATTTTGGTCATCAATGTTCACTCTGTACTTCGACAAAGTGGTATATAGTCCCATTTCCTTTGTCAAAGCAGATCTAAAACCAGCTAACATCACATCTAGTAGCTTGCCATGTGAACTTGTGGATCACTAATAAAATCCTGAACAACATGGGTTTTGTGCTGATTTACTTCAAAACAGCTGTTCATCAAAATTCCTCAAGTCAGGACATAGGTACTTGAGCTAAGCCTATCATTTAAAATGAAAGAAAATGAAAAGAGACAGGAAGTCAAGACCAGATTTTTCAGGTGCTATCAGAGTGCCATAATCGCCTAGGAACTAATTTTGCTTCAGATCTTAGGTGGCCTGGTATGCACATTTAGGGACATACTATAAGTAGGATTCTTCAGGTATTTAGAGGCTGTGATGATAGCTGGAGTAGCTATTGAGTGGGATCATGTTAGTGCATTATATGTTTGGGGAAGTTAATTTAGTTGGCTACTAGACTTGCTTTTTGTCTCAAAGTGTGCATTGAAAGAAAGAAAATGGAGGCAGACTCGGAAAGGTAATTGAGCTGACTCACACTGCAGTGGCTGCAAATGGTGTCCCTGCAGAGTGACCTGCAGCTGCCAGTGGTCCAGGGCTGCAGCCTTGGAGCTGCCAAGAAGCACAAAGCCAGGAGCCTCTGGGTCCTCTTGGAGGATGTTGATGGGAACATATGCACTGGACTGCTGAGCTTTTTGTGGGGAGATGCTAGGATTTTGGTGGTTCAGGAGAGGATTACAGTGCAATAGTCTATGTGTTTGGATACAAGAATTGTCAAAGCCTTCTTTTCTTAGTACTTATTTAAAATTCCAGAGATGTTCTAATAAGTCTCTTTATCATCTTTTTTTTACAGTGCATAAGGTGTTGCACTTATGTGACAATCATTCTGGCATTGACTTCCATTTTTGCTTTTTTTAGGAAAGATCTCAAAGAAAATTAGCATGCATTTGCATTGCTGCCAAAACACTGGTACCTGCTGATGCTAAGCTGTTAGTGTGAATCAGCAAAATTAGTGAGAGGTTATTTTTAAATGCCTCGTATCAAAATTAAGTACAGCAAGTTCAATTGTCATAGAATAGCCCCTGCTTTATGGGAACAGGTTTTGGCTTGTGTGAGGCAGCTACCAAAGGCACAGGATTAAGTTAGTTATGAATAATGATACATTTTAACCACATTATGAAATTTGAATCCCCATTCCTCTTTATTAGAATGAAAATTAAGCATACCTAATATGCTTATTATATTCACAGGTATATTCACAAAGGTTAACTTGTTAAGGGTTATCTGACAAAATTATAATTCTTAATATGTTGCTTGTTAGATTCCTCAATATTTTTTGTAATATTTTGTCTATGTGGGATTTCTGAAACTGAAAATTTCAACAATATTTTA